TAAAAACGATTGAATTGGTGAATCATGTTAAACTTCCCCAGTTTCGTTTTTGCAGTACCTAACATATCAAATACCAATACAAAATGAAGTTTGCACTCGATAACCTCAAGAAAAGAGGATATAAAATATAAATTGGAATATGAGACCACGCATAAGGGAAAAGTTCTTTGCCCATCGCATTTGAATAGACGTCAAGTTCAAACTGATGTCATCGTCCCAAATATGTCAGACTTTTTTTTTTCTTTTTCTGTAAACTCTCCAAGTATAGTCAAGGTCAATTTCATTTCTTCGCAGAAATTGTTGAAACCACGGCCCACATCAGTGCTCTAACCCACTTCTCTCTCCATTTAATACGATTTAGTAATGTAAATACATTTATCTCATTTGTCTCGCCGCCGTCTTTTTCTTTCTTTCTCTCTCCCACTCCATTAATCCTCAACCGCTTAGACCACCCCCACCCCCTCTGTCCCCTCTCTCTCTCTCTCTCTCTCTCTCTCTCTCTCTCTCTCTCTCTCTCTCTCTCTCTCACTCTCTCTCTCTCTCTTCCTTTTCCCAGCATTTTCACTACATCTTACCGCAGTTTCTCGTTCTCTTTCTGTATACATCTTGTCTTCTGATATATTATTTTTCCATTGCTAAATGTTAATATGTATTATAGAGATAGAGAAAACTTTATAACCGACCCCTTCTATATTTCTATATTTTTACTTTTTCTCAAATGTGTGGAGGTATCTCTCTCTATCTCTTTAACTTTCTAGTACCTATCTACCTATATCTCTTTATTTATTTCTCTATGTCTTTCAATTATTTTTGTTACATATTTCCATTCATGACATTTTTTTCAATATTTGTAGAGAATTATTTATCACTATCATCAAGCACCCCCCCCTCTCTCTCTCTCTCTCTACCTCTCTCCCTCCCTAACTCCCCTCCACTCCTCTCCTCCCCCCCCCCCCCCCATCTCTCTCTCCTTATCTCTCCCTCTTTACTTTTTTTCGACTACATAATCTTTACGTTGTGCACAAATCCGATTCCACCATTTACTCTTCGGAGGCGTTCGTAAGTCTCGCAGTCAACAACACCCCCTTTCGTTCCCATTCAACGACTTTAACCGGCAAATCAGTAAATTTCGTCGGCAAATGTGGGAATACGAAATAAGCGTCCCGGTAAATCCCCCATTCAAGATTTTGAAAGGTAGGCGGGTCAACAGTGGTCCAGATTAAAACGCCATTTTCTCTATTTGAATTGTAATAGATACCACTTTACTGGCTAGGTGGGCTTCGCGGTACCCCTCTACCAGCGCTCCGCTCCCACGCGCGCACCACCTGCGAGCCCGGGCAGGTGTATGGGATTGGGGCGTGGCGCCATTTTTCTTATGTTGAGTGCACACTTTTAGTGAAAGTTGGAGAGGTTCGTACGTTGCGATGCTGCAGTAGGGTTTGTAAGTCTATTTATCTGTGTGTGGGGGCCCAATAGATGGATGAAGTTGTCATAAATAAAGTCGTGTGATTAGATATACCATATTCAGTTATCCCTGTCCAACACCGATGATAAAATTAAAAATGTTACACACTAAACACTAAGGGTGAAATTGGTGGGTTGATTCTGCAGATATTGCATCCATCTACACGTACTTGGCAGATGGTGCTGATATTGTAGCAGAACTGCATCCTTATTTCTTAGTGCGTAAGGTCACACTATTTCATTTTGTTTGAGTTCCTTGGCTTATTTCTGCAGTTAACCGATGCTTGGCTACGTCGCATTCATTTCCTCAAAAAAGTAATGATATTGAAGTTACTACATTTTTTTCTTGATAACAAAACTGAAGCACGATAAAAGTTACAACGAGGAATTATCATTTAGATGTAAAAATGAATAACTGTCACATGAATGTCAAATTATTACTTAACGCATGTTTTTAAACTGTTAGTTCATGAAAATATTAACATGATATAACGGTTTTTAAACAAGTGCTTTTAAATGTCTATAAAGTGGGAAAGTCGCTGACGAATTTGCAAACCAATTTAATAATGTTTGCGATAGAGATAAGGAGTTAGAAATCATACGTCACTTCAAAAATTCTCAGAAAATTAGCTGTCCTCATATGCATTTGTCATCATCTAATTCCACGAAGAACTTTCCTCCGGGACATAAAGAGCGAAATTTTGATTAAAAAAGATGAAGCTATATCAAATATCACTTGCATTAACCGAGTTCTGTTGCCAGAAGTGTGCGAAGAAAATGAGTAAGTCGGAAGGGCATACAAGAAGTTGGTCAATTATTCGGAAGAAGAGGGAGAGAGAGAGAGAGGGAGTGAGAGATAGAGGGAGAAAGAGAGAGAGAGAGGGGGGGTAGATAGGAGCAATGATGGTGCCAATTTTAGGGAGTTAGTATGTAAACAAAAAATTGTGATTCATCGCAGATTTTGAATTGTTAACCAATAGGGTTGACGACTATATTATTCATACCCTAACCAAGTTTTGCAGTTTTTTAAGTATGTGATGAATTAGTTTGTCCCGAGCTATGGTTCTGGAAAATGTGACATCTTAAAGCTTGCGTCTTAAGGTATTCAACAAAGGCCCTAATTCGTCCAGTTCACCTTTCATCCTTGAGTTACAAAAAACATAAAAACATCAAATTTACGAAAAGTATTAATAATTTAGTCGTTAACTGTAACCCTCTTTACTGTCATGATGAAATTCAAATCTTAATCACATGGATTTTATTTTTTACATCATCACTTAAACCATTGTATTATAATACTATTTACAGTAAGGAAACCAAGTGACATTCGTAAATCCGTTATAAATAGCTTTGCGTTAGGAGTTCATGGATTAATGGAATACACCTAATGTAAAGTCTATAGAAAGAGGGATTCGAAAGTGAAAGAATGGCATAGAGATTGGCACAGAGTTCATTTTTATTAAACGAGAGAAGGCTATTAGAAATATGGGACTTGTGCAATGGGTGTTTTGTTTTTTGTTTTAGTAAAATATTAACTTATCGTGTTTACCCCCCGCCCCCTCCCTCTCTCTCTCTTTCTCTCTCTCTCACTCACTTTGTATATATTTATCTTTATCTCCTCCCCCCTCTCTCTCTCTCTCTCTCTCTCTCTCTCTCTCTCTCTCACTCTATGTAACTTTTCAACTTTGAGCAGGCGCGATAGCTCAGTCGGTGACCCGGGTTCGAAACCAAGTCGATGCGCTAGTGCCCTTTGGTAAGGCAGTAATCCTCAGTACCATCACCAACCTAATCTTCCTCCCTCTCTATCTGTCGCTAACCTTCACTCGCTTTTTCTTCTGCTATGAACAGCCATCAAGGGTAAACGACTTTTAGCGAATCAAAGTTCGATAACCGATTCCTATTGTTGGGTATTGAGCGGCCGTTTATCCTTTAATTGGGCCCCCTTTGCACAAACATTGTATTGCATTTTAGCAAAGCGTTTTTTAATAGAGGGGGAAACGTCAATGGCAATTGAATATTGTATGGAGCAGGTCGTTCAACTTAAGTGCAGCTCAGAATAATAACAAATGAGGGATTGTGAGAGTACTATACCCTTTAGACAAAATTATTTCGCTCTTTTGAAAGAGAAGCTTGCTTTAGCGAAAATGATGATAATATTTTATTGAAAATTACACATTCAAGAGGTCTAAGCCCTAAAGTTCACCAGTGCGAAGGTTAAATCATAATTTATGAATGACAAATTTCTAGATCGTTATCTGTAAATAGTTCATGATGATAATTTGATAATGAATGCTTATGACTGAAAGAGAAGTATTTGAGCATATCTTTTTTTTTTCTCAATGCCATATATATATTTGGAAGGGGTCATCGTCAGTTTATCGACGAGTTGTTCACTGTTTAGATAAAGAGAAAACTGTTTTAAAACTTTGTTTAACTTTATAGCTCTATGCAGGGGTATCTTTCTTACATCACTACTAAAGGCATTTCGTGCAATTGTCCTTAATTGGTCAAGTAGTATAGTAACACAAATATGTGATCGATTGAAAATATCCGAAATGCATTTGTTAGATTTCTTTAATTCTAGTTAACTATATCAACACACCTGATTCTAAACTACTATGTATTGTGCAAATCAAAGTCGGAAAGATTATATTCGTTTTATTTGCAATTTGGATTTTATAAAGTTCATGTATTACGGCATTTGGGTGAAGTGAATTTGTTTTTTGAGAATGAAATAAAAGGAATGTGCTAAACCTTGCAAACTCAATTAAAATTTCAGTTTAAAAGCAGTATGCTTGTAGATCATGATTTTCTTTGATCATGTTGGTTGTTCTTTAAACACATACGCCTATACATTTTTTTCCGTATTTGTTATTTTGATTACATTCAATACCAAACCATTATAAATAATTCTTCAAAATACAATTTTTGTTCATGATAATAACGTAACTAAAATAACTTAATATATGTACAAATTATAACTTCCTTCGATAAAAAGTGAATAAAATCCGTTATAATATAAAACAAATTATAACCCCTCCCTTACTACTCAACGCAAAACAAAACCATTACCATATACGGTACTATACACATATTTTTTGTTCAGTTATCAAGATTTGATCATGATACTTTTTGTTCGTGAATCATGTTAGTCTGATTCTTGTATTTTTCCTACTCTCTCTGTTATCTCTATCTATTTTTGTAAATATGTATATATTTTTGAAATTTATGTATATCTTCTTTTCTTTTTCTTTTTTTAATTTATTCTTTGTAAATAATTTGCAATAACTATGTTATTTTGTAATGTTGTCTTCTTTTGTATACGGACTTGCTAAAAAACAGCCTTGCGGCTGAAAACAATTTTTATCACCGTATCGAAATAAATAAATAAAACAAACAAACGCACAAATATATATATATATATATAAATATTTCATCATGTTCTTGGAACTCGTTACACTCTTACATGTTAGTTTGGATGTGAATGTGAAACTTATCCTTTAATGCCGTTTTGTTTCTTATCATTTTCCAGGCCAAGATGGAGTGTGAGAGTCAGATAACCGAGTCCCCGCTAGAATGGCCAGTAGAGCTGAACTGTGATACATTACCTTCCTACAACCCGGAGAGAAAGACGCCGAAATGTATCCACTACGAGCCACCAAAGCCAGGTAACATCATGATCAATAATTATTACATCGGAATATTGAAAGTCATAGAGAAAGAAGAAAAATGCGAAATGTATTAAGTATTATGTTAACCCATTTGTATTTCTGTTTTGCACATATCCATTATTATATACATGTACATTTAAAGTGCCAAAAGCCAAAAGCATTAATGGTATTAATAACTACAAATGTAGTCACATTTAAGAATATTAGATTAGTAGTTACGGATATGCACAGTGTTTAGCACATGTATTCACAACGAGCCACCCAAATGTGGTTTAGTTATGATTAAAAGAAATGAGTGTATTACATAGGAGTATTACAAGTTCTAGTTACCCCTCTTTAGAAAATTATATGAGCTTAAAATTTAAGGAGCGGGTGCAGTTGTCATCTTTCCTAAGGCTGTTTGGATGAACCAAATATTACCATACTTTCATTTGTATTAATATTTTTGCTTTGTGTAAAAAACTTTATAGATATACCGGTGTAAATTAAGGAAAAGACGAAGCTAGTTTTTTAATCTCTTCTCTACTTTATCAAATTGAAATATACATTAGAGTATGTTAATGCTACTAAACATGGTTAAAACAGGCCAACATTTTCAAAAGTTTGTATTTGCCATTTAGTTCATATTCGTTTTAGAATATAAAAAGAAGACAAAAAAGTACCTGAAGAGTTCGAATTTCGATACATTAACTTTTCGCTATAACACTGGAGAAGAATTGTACCCAACTCAAGAAGCAAAATGTCAGCAAAGTAGCTGTTTAATTTACATACAGGAGCTACCAATGAAATGAATACATTCAAAATGATCTAGATGATATTGAACATTGTTAAAAGAACCCGCATAACCAGTAAAACTATAGAAGCATAAACCATCGTAAGTAGCAATTCGAAACAAACTCTTTTAACATTCCATATTTCAGCTTTGGCACCATTTAATTTCTTCTTTTTACGGATTCGATGTTTCTGGAAAGATGATTCATACGTGTGAACTGAACAGGGTGGTGAATCAGAGGGTTTGAATTACAACTCCCTCTTTGAAGAAATTGTATTTATTCTTGTACATCATATAGTGGTGTATCCATACATGGATAAAAGATGGGGCAAAATAAGGATAATGTGTTGATGTAATGTCTTAAATTTGTCTTAAAGTTTCCTTAAACTTTTTATAGCACTCTGCAATACATTCATTTGGTTTATTTCAGCGAAATATTGCCATTAGTTTTAATGAGGAAAAATGTATATTTTCAAACATGCAACCAGGGGGGGGGGGCGTTTTCCCGCTCCGCCCTCTCCTGGATACGCCATGTTTACCTATTTATCACTATTATTTATAACAGTACGTCAGTTTAAATACGCCATTGGCATTCAACTTGACTTCAGGGACCACAAGAAAAGTGTAAACCTTAAAAAGAACACGAAATGATTGGCGTTGAACAGCGGTGCGGGCGTGGAGCGACATCCTGCCCCGCTGTGGCCCGGACGTCACTCAAGAGTACCCCTTTTGTGCCACCCGGGAAAAAAAGTGTAACCTAATCGCCATCAAATCGACAGAACGTGTTGATTTAAAGGCGGTAAATAGCGGCCCGGCCATTGTCTCGCTGGTGGGAAATTGTCGAAATGGAAAGGTTAAAACATCAAGAAAAGTGTTACAAAATAACAGTCACATAAATTATCGCCGCTGCAGTTGGCGCAACTGAGCAATTTGGATGTTTTGCCATTGTCAACTATTTTAATAAGAGCTGGTTTTCTCCTAGAAGTGGAAGCCACCCTCTTGTTGGGGTTAGGAGCTTAGCCTATATCTAGGGAGGGGGAATCAATTGTCACACCTCCGTTTTTTTTGTTTGATGATAAAGAGACACATTTAATTGTGCTATTGCGTAAATAATTTGGTTTTTCCTTTCTGTACGAAGTGCTGATGAAATGATCTTGAGTTGACGAAATACAAACCCTTTTGTAAAATTTCTTTTGGGACTGTGAATGGACTTGTGATTCAAGAAAAATATGACTTTTGGCGACTTAAGATCTCAATATAAACAGGATTAAAAGAATTGTTATTATTGAATATGAACTGATCGTGATGTGACGAAATACAAACATGACTACCATTTTATTAATTTTTTTGTGGGAGTATGAATGGACTTGTGATTGAAGAAAAATATGATTTGGGGTGACTTAAGATCTCAAAATAAACAGGATTAAAAGATGTATTATTATTGAATACGAAATGGTCGTGATATGACGAAATACAAACATGACTACTCTTTTATGAATTTCTTTGTGAGACTGTGAATGGACTTGTGATTCAAGAAAAATATTACGTTTGGTGACTTAAGATCTGAAGATAAACAGGATTAAAAGACTATTCTTAACTTATGTTCTGCTTTATGCAGAGAAGATGATTTTTTTTTTTTTTACATAAAGGCCTTTCCTTTTCTCTTTTTTTTTGTTGTAATGGATTTGTCTGGTTTAATTCTTTATATTGATGCTTTGGGTTATTTTAATCTCTGTATTTCTATCTCGTTTTATGCTTTATTATGCTAAAAAATACGAATCATGAATTATGGAGAGAAGACAATTCTGATTGGTAACATCACTGTGATCAAAATAATGATACTCGGTTTGCTGTGCCTTTTGAGTTTATTACTACACAGTTTTGTTAATATTAATATATGTCCATTTCAAAATTAATGACGTCTATCATGTCTATTTTGTAAAGTCATTATCAATTATTAGACAATTTGAAAAGGGGAGAAATATATCCTAATTCCCCCAAACTCGAACAAGAAACTGGTTATATGTTCTACTTGGCTTCATACGTTCCCTTCAATAGTACGTTTTATTTATGATTTTTTTTTATTCAAGATAAAAAAGAAATCCTACCGGCAATACCGTATATTATGCATACTATTGAGTTCAAAGTTACATTGCACATAAACTATTGTATTTTTTCAAAAACCATGCTTGTAAGTATGATAATTTCGAGTATTTGATGTCTCTAATATCAAAACTACGTTTATTAATACACATCGGATTCATTTCCAACCTTTTTTCCTCTAGCCCATTGTAAACTTCACAAGGAGATCGGACCGTGTAGCACCTACCATCCTTTCTGGTACTTCGACCGGGTGGCAAAAACTTGCCAGACATTCACTTACGGTGGTTGCCTTGGCAACAAGAACCGGTTTGAAACGAAGGAGGCTTGTATCCGAACCTGTGGACAAGGTAGCATATATGTACATGACCTCTGACCCCTGTCACCTTTCATAGTGCTTCATTTCATGCCATTTCCATTCATCACCTAAAGCTTGGCTCTGATTGGCGTACTCTAGGTCGTCACGTGACCAGTGGCGCCTCGAAGCCGTTCATCTTACATCTTCACACCCTTTTTCATTTTCCTTTCATTTCATTTTGCTATGTGTGGACAAAGTACCGTACGTGTACATGACCCCCGACCATTGTCATCTTCCAAAATTACGTCATCTCATCTCATCTCATTTCCATTCATCTCCCAAAGCTTACCTGTGATTGGCTTATTCTAAGTCGTCACGTGACTAATGGCGTCAAGGTGCCATTCAACTTCTATCGCTCATTCTTTTCATTTGTTTATCATTTCATTTTGTCGTTGCTCTTTCAACAGTTTTTCGACTTCCATTATCCTTTTCTTTAACCATTCTGTTTCCTTCATCTCGTAAAGATAGGCAGTGATTGGCTCGTACCATATAGTCACGTGACCCATGGCGCCACGGTGTCGCCCATGTTTGTTTTTACTCGTTTCCTTAGTGTCTCCTATTCCCTTTGTGCTCTTGTCACGTGAACACTTTTTTTCAAAATTACTTCACTTTTTTCGTGCATCTGATAAAGACAGACCCTAGTGATTGGCTCATATCATGCTGTCACGTGACTCACGGTGCCATCACGTTCGTCTTCATTTAGTCACGCCTTTTACGGGTCGCTGCTTTCAAACAGGAAAGTGGAATATTTTCAATTCTTTTGTACAATGGAGAATTGGAGAATGATGTGAGGAATAAAAAGGCAAAAGGAGTTTTAAAATGAGAGGAGGTAGACTGAGTCATAAAAAAGATGAATAAAGCACCCATAAGCGTTTTTGAAATAGGACGGGAAAAGTAATACCCGCGGATCATTCATTGACCAGCATTTACCCAGAATCCTATTTTGTAATGAATCGGAAGAATTGATTGATTGAAGATGTGGAACTGTATATTTCTTATCGGCCCGCAAGCAAAACAGTAAGTTGGACTGTGTGAAAGAGTTATTCTGTTTACTTCGCAATTGCTTTTTAATTGATCGCTCTGCTTATCACACATCTATCTGTGACTCACCCATCGTAGCGATCACCATTTCATCCACGGTCCAACCCTTCGTCATCAATCCCTTGGTAGTTGTTATTTTCTTTCGTTTTGGTTTTTTTCTTTCTGTCTCTCTCTCTCTCTCTTTCTCTCTCTCTCTCTCTCTCCTCCTCCTACTTTTCCCTCTGTCTCCTCTCTTTTTCTCACTCTCTCCTCCCTATCTCTCTTTCTCTCTCTCTCTCTCTCTCTCTCTCTCTCTCTATCTCTCTCTCTCTCTCTTTCTCTCTCTCTCTCTCTCTTTCTCACCTAACACTTTCTCTGCCTCTTTCTCTCTATCTCTTTCAGTATTTCTGTTCGGTCTGTCTCCCTTTCTCTCTCCTGTGCTCCATTTCTTCCCTTTATGTTTTTTTTTTTTTTTTTTTACCTTCTGATGTCTCTGCTATAGGAATTTGTTCTCCTATTTTGTTTTTATCACCTCTCTGTCTCTCACACATTTTCCTATCTCTTTCCTGTCTAAATCCCTATTTTATAAAGACTTTATGCTCTTGTTGACCAATCGCCTTAGGCACTTTCTAACACTCTTTTCCTGACTCACACGTCTTAATTCATCTTAATTCGCAGACTTGCAGACGACTATGAGTCTATAATGAAGATGCTGACTCCATTATCGAATTATAGTTTGATTTAATAGTCATGAATTCTCTTTTCATTTCATTATAAAAGCTTTTTACCTCTATCTTTATTCATATGTGTTGTTGTTCTTTCGAAATAATTTAGTCATACGTCATTTTCATACTCATATTTCAATACAGGCGTCATCTTTAGCAACTTTTCACGCCTTCCATTTCATAATTTTCATCATTTGCACCAAATCTCTCTGAATTAGTCATGTTCCGTGTGTCATCTCATTATAGCTACAACAAAATTTAATTAAACATTACCCATGTCTTTGCTATTAACATCTCATATTTTCATAAGTGTTTCATTGTTGTAGGTTCATTCTTTTGTATTTGAAACCGTTTTGTATTATCGTCATTCTTTATATTTTCGCCATTCCTTTGTTTGTTATCGTAATGAGTATAACAGTATTTTCATCCGCCAGTGTATTGTTACTGTGTTGCATATGTATATTTCTCAATCACAGTTCACGCTTATGACGTCATCGCTTTGTCATCACCTTTCTTTATTCCTGTATACTTCTTTTGTTTTGTTTTGTTTTCTTCTTGGGGGGGGGGGGTATTATTTGGGGCTTTATCATGTCAACCATCCATCTTCAAATGTCATTCTCATTATTTCCTATGTGTTGTATTCCGTTTCCTATTCAAGCTATTTTCCATTATATCCATTGTATTTTTATGAATATTTTGTTAGAAAATGATTGGTACTACTGAATGAAAGAATAATGAAGTAGAATCTGGAAATCGAAACTTTTACAACTTTCATAATAAAATCTTCCATTTTCTGTATGCACATTATGTACAGTGCACTGTTTCTTTAGTTCATGTGACTTTCTTATTATTCATAGTAGCAAACTTTCTCTTAGTTGGAAACATTCATTAAGAGAAAGGAAAAAAGAAGAATAGAGAAAAGAGAGGAGAAAGGAAATAAGAATAAGGATAGGGAAGAACGAAGATTCCATGAAAATGGTGTCAGGAGTGGGATTAGAACCCACGCATTTCTTTCTAAGATTTATGTTCAACTATTTCCTTTTATCCTCCCCGATCCCTTAGAAAGCACAATAGCTCCCGGTATGTTGAGTACCACATTGGATATCACCACCAACGAGGCGACCACGCCCCAGCCCCTCCCAAAGGTTCTGGAACGCCCCATGGACCAGACGGTGTTTGAAGGCGAGACTGTCACTCTGAACTGCTTTGCATCGGGGGCGCTGGAGTATACGTGGAGGAGGATAGCTGGTCCGATGCCTGAACATAAGTAAGATTTGATTTGATTTTATATGATATGGGGGGGGGGGGGCACAAAGATCCTAAGTCGAACTTAACTCTAAGTTGGACTTTTAAATTATGGAGAGCCATTTGTAGCCTTAAAATAAATATATTCAAAAGCGAATACTGAAGTATTTTTGATTTTTTAATATAAATTGCACTCAAAGAACATGAAATCTCCTTGATTACAGAAATATGAACGATTTGAATCAACATGTTATGCCTCTTAAAATAACTTTTACAAACTATTTTCAAATATGCTAACGGCTTTCCATATTTGTTAAGTCCAACTTAAAGATAATTTCAACTTAGAATCTTTTTGAAACACCTCCCTGATGTGATTTTATTTTATTTTATTATATAAATGTATAAATAAAACAAAGTATTACACTGGAAGTCACGTAACATGTGCGATGCTGGAAATCTAATAATCTGATTTAATTTTAATAATATGATTTGCTTTTGCTTCAATTTGATTCTATTTGTTTTTGTCTTCTTTTTGTTCGTTCTTTCCTTTTCATTTATTATTGTCCTCAGAGTTTCCTTCAATATATAAATCGAATTTTTAGGCAGTTTGACCTAATTACAAGAATTAAATCCAAGGCCATAAAATGTTTTAAATCTTACTGTTTATCAACGTTTATAGAAAAGATTATTCAATTATATGATTATGATCATACTTCCCGGAAAGATCGACTTACATAATTCAAATTTGCTTCAGCCATAAGAAGTCAGTTTTTCTGACTATCAATAACATTAATAGCATTAATAAAATGTTTATCTGTATACTGCAAAATCACATTGTAACCCAATACATAACATTGAGATGACAGCCCGTAAACCCCGCCTATTTCCAGTACAGCCAGGATATGGCATAATGTTTCAAAACAAGAAATTGTGAAAATATGCTTTCAATTATCTTGAAACATGTCTGATATTTATTTCTAGTAATTCTAGGAAGATGTGTAGGAGGCGCATGATGCCCAACCGAAAGGTGATAGCGGATAGAGATCATTGAATGTAATACCTCGGAAGTAAAATAAAAACTGAATCAAAATAATGTGCAACATGATCTTAAAACATGTTAAAGAGAATATTGAGTTCTGGTAAAGATACAAAAATTTGGGATTCCTCATCCTCTTTATGTCATTTTATAAGAAAACCGTGGTGGAAATTTCCGCTATTAGGATTGTTCTTGAAATGACCCCATATTCAAAACATTTAATGTAATACCTCGGAAAATCAAATAAGAACGGAATCAATCACAATATGTGCAACATGACCTAAAACATGTTAAAGAGAATATTGAGTTCTGGAAAGATGATGAATAATTTGTGAACTTTCGTCATTCTCTTGAAGTCATTCTGGAAGAATATCAGGGTGGAAATGACCCCTATAAGGAATGTTCTTTAATTGGACTCATATTCAAAATATTACCAGAAAAACCTTGTTTAAATAAAACGGAATAAATAAATAAATAAATAAATGGTTTGGACCAAATTTTCAGATCACATGTTTGAACAGGCCCATACCCCCGTTTCTGTGTGGACATCCTCAATAATATTGAGCCAGATTCTTTCCATTTTGATCCTTTTAAATCCTGACATTATTTGTTTCTTATGTACAACACAATATACCGGTTGAATAACATATTCAAATTGCATGCATTCTTTTAAACAAAGGATGTTCTTGACAACCAATAGCTTGACCGAGGCTTGCTCGACATAGCAGCAAGTAAAGTATTCAGACTGGATTCCAAGTATTGTAGTTCATGTATTACTAACAGGTTAATGATATAACTTGTCACTAGCTCCCCAGGAAAACAACACCCATAATTGTTGGCATGTAATGTTAGTAAACCGGTCAATTAACCCCGATTGTCCCAGACAATTTCTTTCACAATTCAATAGGATGACCGGTACTCGACTTTATCTTTAACGTCCCAGGAACACGATTCAAATTATGAAATCAACTTTATAACGAGTTTTGTCATCTGAATTAAGATTGACAATCGAGACGTTTCTTTGAACGACTTGACGGAAATTAGATGAAATCGGAGAAGAGATTATATTTCTCTCTCTTCCTTTTTGTGAATATCAAAGGTAAAAATCTTGTAACGGGAACGCCTCGAGAGGCATATTAGTCATTCCCAAAAAGCTGAGTGATTTGCTTTTAAAGGGGGAGAGAAGTCCTATTTGAAATGCACTGTCCGAAGAAGTAATGAGAATTTTTGACATTGTATTTTTTCCATGTGTCATGGTTAATATAGTGAGACTGATTGTTTGCCGGAGGGGGATATTGATGAGACATGTATCTTTGCCTCTCTATCTTGTCATCTGTATCTCTCTCTCTCTCTCTCTCTCTCTCTCTCTCTCTCTCTCTCTCTCTCGCGGGCTTTTGGGGCTCTATCCCTCTCTCTATCTCTCTTCACACTTTGCTATAGTTTCTTTCCTTTTTTTCCCAATCCACCTCTTCCCTCTTTCTTTCTCTCTGTGACTTTTCTCCCTTGCTCGCCATACTGCAATCTCGTCCTATACCCCTCTCTTTCCCCTTTTCCCTCTCATATCTCTCTCTCTCTCTCTCTCTCTCTATCTCTCTCTCTCTCATATCTCTCCCTCTCCCTCTCTCTTTCTTTCTCTCTCTCTCTCTCTCTCTCTCTCTCTCTCTCTCTCTATCTCTCTCTCTCTCTCTCTTGTCAGTTACCCTATATCTCTATTTCGCATTCTAGGAGCATCCTTCTTTCAATCTTATCCCTTTAATTTCTCAGTTCCATTTTCCTCACTTTTCTGTCATAATTATCTCCCTCCCTATTTAAGTATTCTATGAAGGTCAACGTCAGTTCACAATTATAGAACTACAGTTTATTGAATATATATACTATAATGGAGGGGCAGACTTTCATGGCTTGTCTTTGCTCTTGTGACGATCACGTCCGAGTAGTCCACATGGGAATTGTACCTGGAAAATATAGCTTGAGGCTTGAGGGGAGTGAGGGGTTTGTACAATTATGACTATACCAGAAATTATGTCGACGAAGGAAACTCTTGGGCTTAAATCAAAAGCATATTCTTCACCGAGCACGAATGTTCTAACTTCGTCCACTTCATGAGGGGGACATACTTCCTTTCCCCCATTTTCAACTCCCGCACGCTTTCAAAACCGTCGAGTTATCTGTCTAGAGTTCAAAGACCCATGATTAAATGTAGATTATGGAATAACAATTTGTCATTACGTCGGTTTGAAACTTTAGGGTGAAACCAATCTGTCCATGGCCTATTTATTGTAATGGATGACTAGTGCTCTCCTGAAGAGGTTATATTCGTGACAGACAAATATGCCGGCTGATATTGGAGTTGTAGTCGATGTAACAGACATTGATCTACAGGTTCAGGTTCATTACAAGAAAAAGTATTAGATAGTCCCGGTTACAGATGTTTTGTGGTTGGATGTTTATTTGTAGTATTGGCTCGTTTGTTTCTTGTTCTGATTATTTACACAATAATAAACTTGAGACACTTTTTCGAACAAATATCGGGAAGTCTGGAACTTGACTCAAAACATGGGTGATTAAATATTTGAAACAGTGCTTTTAACCAAAATGTTGGTTCTCCCTCTTTTTTTGTATCTGTCGTCTACATGTTTATAAATTAATGTTTAGTGCAAAAAACGAATAAATGCTTTATTTGTCCTCTCTCTCTCTCTCTCACACACTCTCTTTCTCCCTTCCTTTTTGTTTATAATCATTTTCTGTTATCTCTCTTCTTATACACTGTCTCTAACTTCAATTCTCTATTCATCTTGATTTACCTGTGCATAAACAAATAGTTCTCACTTTTCATCACGTTTTCTCTTCACGTCTTTAGGATTCTCGCCGAAGAATACAGCAGAGAGGGCGCTATTCTGATAATTGCTGACATGATGCCCGAGGATGCTGGGTTATACATGTGCATCGCCGAGAACCAGGCAGGCGTGGAGGAGAGTGTTGCCTCCATTACAGTTTTAGGTATAAAAAGATTTAAACACAAGCCAATCACATAAAAACACCATAACATAAGTAAGCAAGAAACAAAACTATAATTTGTGTACAAACACGGGGATGGTGTACGTCCAGATGCTGGTGATGATAAAAAGGTGTTCATTATATTAGGTGGTTGTGGTTTTGTTGTGGTGGATATGATGATGATGATGATGATGATGATGATGATGATGATGATGATGATGATGATGATGATGATGATGATGATGATGATGATGATGATGATGATGATGGTGATGATGATGATGATGATGATGATTATAATGATGATGATGATGATGGAGATGATGGTTATAATGATGATGATGATGATGATGGAGATGATGATGGCGGTAATGATGATGGTGATGATGATCATGGTAATAAGGATGATGATGATGATGATGATGGGGTTATGAGATGGGGTTGAAGGAGGTTCTGATGTTGCTGTAAGTGATGGTGGTGATGATGATGATGATGTTCATCATGATCATGATGAGGATTATGAGATGGGGTTGAAGGAGCTTCTGATGTTGCTGTAAGTGATGGTGGTGATGATGATGATGATGTTCATCATGATCATGATGAGGATTATGAGATGGGGTTGAAGGAGCTTCTGATGTTGCTGTAAGTGATGGTGGTGATGATGATGATGATGTTCATCATGATCATGATGAGGATTATGAGATGGGGTTGAAGGAGGTTCTGATGTTGCTGTAAGTGATGGTGGTGATGATGACGATGGGGCTGGTGGTGATAAGGTAGTGACAGTATTGATGATTGAGATATGATATGATATGGATGGAGATATGTAGCTATACATATAAACTCAAGTAATGCAATTGCTACTTATTTATCACCTGAGAGCCGTTCTCATCTCTGTTGGCATTCCCCCTTGTTTTCCTATTTTGTAGTTCCTTTTGTAGTTACAATTTGTTGATTGAATTACTCATTATTCCTAAGAATCATTTAAAGGTCCATAATTGTCAGGCATTGATTTTAAGTGGACCCCTCTGTTTCAAAAATGTATTCCTAAATTGTTGTAATTGTTCATAATTGAAATGTTTTTTCTGAAAGCAGAAATAAATTGGTTTGAAATTGAAATTGATATTCCTCCTTATTTGCCAACCAGTACCACCTAGAATCGTCAAGTTTCCAGAGAGTGCGTTGATTATCCAGGGGGAGACACTGGAACTGAAATGTGAATTCACGGGGGTTCCCCCTCCCAAGGTTTACTGGGAGAGGGAGGATGGCCAATTCGTTTCACAAAGGTGAGATTTTGATTCAAATTTTCCATGTATAGTTATGAGCCTCGTATATTCATGTAATAGTCACAGGTATTGCAATTATAATTGCTATTCCAATGCTATGTACTTCAAAGTGTCAATGTAGTACAAAGCATATTTAGAAACGTTTTTTTTTTTATCTTCTTTGAAATCCAACCAATGGTTGCAAGAATGATCAGCGAAAAAGGCATATTCTGTATATATCAAATTCTTTGAGTCAATACAATTACTATATCATGTCCTACGAACATTGCTTTCGAATTTGTATTAAAATTGATTGATTACTTTAAAACATATCTGCACTAGTTTGGCATGGAAGGATTAGACCTCCCTTGGTGGTCACTAGGAGGTGATTATCTCATCAAATCAGCTCTCAATTAACATAAGAAAAGGGGAATCATGGGGGACTAACGGGTACCGCTTAGGCACTTATTGTTGGCCATATAGAGGGCGCAAATAGAAACAAGTAGTGCAGGCACGCTTAAGAGATTTGACAAGATAACTTTTCGTTGCATTTACCCTGAGACATCATGTTTAATATTTCACCAGGGTGAACGGTACGGAGTCGACCGTCATCATAAGCAACATCAATGACATCCAGACTGGTATGAGGTTCACCTGTGTAGGACGGAACGAAGCCGGGCTCGACAAGCGATTCATTGACGTCGAAGTGAAAGGTTAGTGCAAAAAGGGTGTTAAAGAGTAAAAGAGGAGACAGTACGTGTGAATGCGATGTAGAGGGCGTTTGTCTATAAAGACCGTCAATACTACTGGGCCAGAAGGGATTATACCACACAGCGAGGTCACTGACAGGTGGATATCTCATTAACTCAGCTCTCAACTAACATAAGAAAAAGAGGATCATGAGGGACCAACATGCACCGATTGGGGAAGTTTTCTATATAGAAGAAGCTACAAGTAGGACAGTAAGGCTTTAAATGTTGTATGTTCAGATCTAGAAGGGCATTAATTCTGCGTTAAATTATGAGTAAATGTCTTTCTGGCTGTATACAAACGATATGGTATATAAATGTCAATGGTATGAGGTTCACCTGCGTAGGACCTCGACAAGCGATTCATTCACGTCGAAGTGAAAGGTAAGTGCAAAAAGGGCGTTAAGGAGTAAGAGAGGAGAAAATATGTGTGAATGCGATGTAGAGGGCGTTTGTCTTTACACATCGTCTGTTCAGACCTTGAAGGGCATTCATTATGTGCAGAATGATATAAGGTAATGAATTTCTGGCTCCATACAGACAATATGGTATTTTGATTTTCCTGGTATGGGGGTTATCTGTGAAGGAAGGGATGCAGCTGGGCTCGAAAAGGATTCATGTTTTTAGATATCGAACTACAATATTGAGATCCTAAGCACTTTAACGCAGTAGACTGCCAGGGAAACGTTGATATAATAATTATTTAGAGCGTGATTGATGCTTTTTGTTAAAGGCATCTTTAATGCAATCTTCTTAATTTAATATTTCCACAGCGCTTAGAGACTTAATTGTAATTTGCGCTATATAAAAACTGAGTATTATTATTATTATTATTATTTCACATTTCTTTCCGTTCTCCCATATAGTGCCGCCATATTTCACCGCATTTGCTCGCAACCGAACGCTGAATGAGGGAGAGACAGCAGACTTCTTATGCCAGGCAGAGGGGACAAGACCCTTGACGATCACGTGGTACAAGAATGGTGAACCGGTAAATATTGCCACTAAAGGGGTCCTAAAACCATTCATTTTATGATGTTATCAAGTCATTATATCTTGATTAATGTACTTTTACCTGCGGTATGAAAGCCTTAATCCTAAATCTCTTTGGAAGCACGATTAGGCATGTCATGTGATATGCCCTATACAAGAAGTGTATTAGTGTATTTCAATTCAAGAAAATACATTAAAAATGCGAAGGTAATTACTTAAAATACATCTAGATAGCACTTTGAAGGAAAAATATAAATATTTACAGTAGGCCTACAGTATAATATAGAACATTTTTTTGTTTAAACGGTATAATGGGAACTAGGATGGCCATACAAAACAATTGGGGTTTTGAGGCGGCCGCCCGAACAAAGCATAAATGTCGTGTATTGCAGTACATGTTCGACATAATTTTTAATTCACAATAATAATTGGTTTAAATATAACTTTATCATGAATATCATAACATAAGGAAACAAAGACAAACAAACACACACACACAAACATATAAGCAAAAACCTAATTCTTCCTTGATTGACATCATCTAGCTTGTAGCGGATGGTGTTCGAACCATCTTCTTCGACAACGGAACCAGCTTCCATATCACTTCGACCACGCCCAGCGACTCTGGACGATACACCTGCTCGGCATCCAATACCGTCGGGCAGATCGTGGACGATGTCTACTTCCAAGTCATCGGTAAGTCCGATAAAAAAATTAATACAAATATAATTAAACTAAATAAAAATATAGCCACAACAAAAAGGATTAATCAATCTTTCCGAAAAAGAGGGAGAAAAGCTTACTCCCATTGATATAAAACATATTGGAGATCCTTGCTAAATTGAATATTGAATAGAGTGTAATAGAAAACAGATTCATGAACTAATTTTTCCGAATAAAAAAAAAATTACGACTTTTATATTATAATGATATATTTCAAAACATATGACAAATTTAAAAGAAAATATATTTCAAGTTTAAACCAAAATCAGATGGGAATATATGAATCTTGAAAGAAATTGGCAACCAGGTGTGTGATAATGGAAATACAATTCAAACTTTAGTTTCATCCTAACCCTTCCTTATTCTTAAGTACGGAACTCTTACAGAAAGAAAATTTGAAAAATAGCCAAATTAATTTATCGGTTCATGAGAACGCCGACGAAATATGAAATATACAATTTTGGTTACTTTTGATTTTCCAAACTATTTTTTAAAATCTTTTCAGCTTCGGCAGCTTTACCACGAATCACCGAAAGCCCGTCCAATGCGACCGTCTACATTGGACAATCCATACGTTTCCATTGCCAAGCATCAGGCGACCCTGTTCCCACTGTAAACTGGTTGGTGGACGGTTTCACTATCGGTGTCCCTCCTCTTGATCGAGACATGCGGTATTCGTTCAATGGCACCGATCTCGTCATTGATCACGTCAATGTGCGCGATGCCGGGAAGTATACGTGTTTGGTCACCTCGCCGCATGGCATGGAGCGAGTCAGTGCACAGCTGCGTATTAGAGGTGAGATTAAAGGAGGGGTAATGGTGGTGGAGGTGGAGTTGGAGGTGGAGGTGGTGGTGGTGGTGGTGGTGGTGGTGGTGGTGGTGGTGGTGGTGGTAGTGGTGGTGGTGGTGGTGGTGGTGATGGTGAGTAGGTTGAGGAGGAGGAAGGAATAATGGGGATGATGATTACAATTACGATTGTGATGGTAATCAATAATAGTCGAGATGACGAAGAAGATGATAACAGGAATGATAGTGATGATGATGATGATAATGGTGATGGTGAGGGGGTCGAGGAGCAAGAATAGTGATGGTTATTATAATTATGTTGGGTGATGGTAACACAAAATAACCAAGATGACGACGAAGATGATAACAGTAATTACAGTAATGATAGTGATGATGATGATGATGAATAGGAGGCTGAGGAGGAATGGTGATGATGGTTACAATTACGATGGTGATAGTAATCAAGAATAGTCGAGATGACGAGAAAGATGATTACAGTAATGATGGTGATAGTGATATTGAGGAGGGCACGGAAGGAAGAATGGTGATGATGATTATAATTACGATGGTGATGGTAATCAAGATTAATAAAGATGACGAAGACGACGATAACAGTATCGATAATGATGATGATGATGATGATGAAGGGGAGGTTGAGGAGAAATGGTGATGATGGTTACAATTACGATAGGTGATAGAAATCAAGAATAGTTGAGATGACGAAGAAGATGATAACAGGAATAAATAGTGATGGTGATGATGATGGATAGGAGGCCGAGGAGGAATGGTGATGTTGATTATAATGACGATGGTGATGATAATCAAAAATAGTTGAGATGACGAGGCAGATGATCACAGTAATGATAGTGATGATGGTAATGATGATGGTGAGGGGGTTGGGGAGGAAGAATGGTGATGATGAATTATGATTAAGACGGTGATGGTAAATCAAGAATAGTTGAGATGACGAGGAAGATGATTACAGTAATGATAGTGATGATGGTAATGATGATGGTGAGGGGGTTTGGGAGGAGAAATGGTGATGATGATTATAATTACGATGGTGATGGTAAATCAAGAATAGTCGAGATGACGAAGAAGTCAATAACCGTAATGATAGTGATGATGATAATGACGACGACGGTGAGAGGGTTGGCGACATTGATGATGATGATGACAATGAATACAAAATAGTAATGATGATGAAAGTGTTGACAATTTTGACCGTGATTACGATGATGGTGATTATTGAAGCTTAAGACAATAGTCAAAGATGATCGTAATTACAATAATGGTGATGATGACTAGAATGATGATTAAATGGGGATGATAAACACTGACCATATTACCTCTGCTCAAATGCCAGCTCCTCCATCAGGACGACTTTGTTCATGCTCCTACCATCTTTTCACTCTCTCCTTCCCTTCACCTCATCCCTTTTCCTCATCCTCATCCTCATCCTTTCTCCTCCAACTCAGAACCCAAACTCGAAATGGAAACTGCCATCAGCGACACCAACGTCATCATCGGCGACGATCTCGTGCTTACCTGCGAGGCGAGCGGCGAGCCCGAACCCAGTCTGACCTGGTACCGCAACGGTCTCCCAATCAATGAAACCCTTCAGAGATTCTCCCTCGAAGAGAACTCCCTTATCATCCCCATCCTCACCTCCAAGATGGGCGGTTCCTACAAGTGTATCTATGACAACGGGGTGCTGACGGCGTCATCTTCGGCGATGGTAGAGATCCTTGGTAGGTTGACGTTACATCGCGTTGCGTTATTTCATGTTACATTGTGTTATGTTACATCAGCGACTGCGCTAATTTTTGAGTTACGCGTTACACAATATTATTGTATGTTATCTGAAGTCTTCTCATGATTCATCATGTCAATAACATTAAATTGTGTTCATTGTGCTATGTTCCGTCAAGCTGTCCCACCACCCGTCATTTTTCTTATCATTTCAGGGTGCTTGCTTTTATGATCAAAGTAAAAGAAAATAATGCTACAAACGTGTTGTTTTATGTGTATTTTTATATTTTCGCTTAATTTTTTTTTACTGCTCTTTCACTAATGCATGTACTTCAATTGCACATGAGATGTGAATTGGCGCAGAACAGCGTCAGAGTGGTATTTGACGCACAATACAAAGAGTGATCGTGAAATTAACAGTGCAAATATTGTGCTGATTTAATTCTGTGTGGGTTGGGTGCATTCACAGAGCTGCTTATTGCGGCTAGTAATTCCAATCCAAATGACGTCATATGTGCAACCAGCTTTGTCAAATCGAAATGAGAAATTAAATGAGCAATCTTGCATGTAATAAAGCAACCACAGCAGCACATCACTGGACAAAAATGTTTTTCTCAGAAGGTAATTTAAGCAGTGACCTAGCTTCATGGGCATCAGGAGAAAGGAAATGTGGACTGTTCTTTTTTAAACCGCATCATTTTTTTGTCTGTCATGTAGAAACGGACATTTCGATATTCTTTTTTAAGTTCTCTGCCAATACTAACTTAAAACTTTGATTTTCATTAGTTTTTGTCACTACATGTTGAGGCAAAGTCGGTGTTTTCGGGTAAAATTAACCTTCATTCGCTCATTCTTCACCGCAGAGCCTACTGCTATCACTCCTGCATCATCAATGCCGCCCCCTATGTCAAACTCAACGACAGCCACCCCGCAGCCATCGGGCACGAGTAAGCATGAGAAAATAGCATGTAATTGCAATCCCGCCTTAAAACAAAGTCAAAACAAAATCATTTTGCTCATATTTCTTTTCCTTCTGCATTGCAAGTTCGGGAGATGAAAAGTATGACTGATTTTTGGTGCCGTTGCAATTGTATTTGAAATTGTAATTTGTATATGGAAAATGGGACCAAAACAATGGAGAAGAAGAGAGAAGAAGAAGAAGAAGAAGAAGAAGAAGAAGAAGAAGAAGACAAAGAGAAGACAAGGAGAAGAAGAAGGAGGAAAGAAGACGTAGGGGAGGACGGAAGTTAAAAAAAAAAATCATTTTTAATTTGAGGAAAACAAGTTTGTGTCAATAAATTCTAAAATAAATCAGTGAAAAAAAGCTTCTGTGTGAAAGAAGACAATGTTTATTGTGGATGCACTGCTCCACGATAGCATAATTAAACAAGCATGCTAGTCTGATCGTGATTCTTCAGATTCAGAAATACTCGATTCATAATGAAATTATTCTAATATACGATAAACCAATGCAATCTTTTCCTTAATTTGCATGAATCTATTGTAGATGATATGTCAGATAATGATTTGTCAGAACTTGGAACCGCTCCCTCATCTCTAATGGAACTCAAACTACGTCGCTATGACGTCACAGACACAGGCATACCAGACCTGTTTCGGGGATGGGCCGACGTCCAGGGACAGGGCGCCGCCAACGACTATTGCAGGTAAGCAAATCCAATGGATATTTGTGAACAGTATACGAAACAAATTTCCCAATTCCTTTTATTTAAGTGCACATAAAGTTCACATATTCTTAAAGCTGCTTTATGACAATTGGCTTCCTCTCGTTCAATAGATTGAATGTCATTGAGTCTGTTTGATCATCATCATGAAATAAACAATTCAATTTTATATTATATAAATATTGACTGCTCATGACGATGATAGTGGGAATTATCACTCCCAAGGTGGTGTTCATACCGGCCCATCTATCACCCCGAGGCGAAATGTCATTGAATTATTAACAATGACTTTGTAGTGGTCGTTGTTAATCTGAGAAAGAAATATACATTGTTTTTTTAAAGCACCGCTGCACTACTTACAGCTACTTGCGCCATCTTTATAGCAAACAATGTCTAATCGGTGACCGTTGGTCCCCCTTTTTTAATGTTAATTGAGAGCTGATTTGATGAGATAACCACCTGTCAGTGACCTTGCAGGGAGCTCTAATCCCTTCTGGAGAAACTAATGTAGACGGGCTTTAAATATTGATCTAATATTGGAATCTTATGTGCATTCAGAGTGATTGAGCCAGTGGAGGGACAGTACCAGCTCTCCTGTGTCCTCGCCGGGAGTGAAGGGGAGGTGAACTACACGACGAATCTAGGCTTCGAGATTGGTGAGAGAAATACCTGGTATATGAAGGATGAGGACGGCGATGGAAGAGACGATTACTGCAGGTAAATACTCCCTTGAATACACTTTGTCTAGATATAGTCCAAGTTCTTGGTTTAGGTCATGTTTAAGAAACGTGTTACTAAAATCAAATCATAAATTTCCATGTATGAAGGATGAAGATCGTGATTGCAGGTTGGTTCTCTCTTGAATATACTTTCACATTCAAGTTCATATTCAAGTTCAAGTTATACTTCAAGTTCAATTTCAAGCTCATTTTAAGAACATTTTAAAAAGACATGGTTCAGAATTAGCATATTTTATTGGAAGGATGAAGTATAAACATAAAAGAGATGATTACTGCAGGGAGATTCTTCCTTGAATACAATTTATGTAGTCGTGTCGTGGTCGAGTGGATACATCGCCAGACTGTCGATCACAAGGTCTCCGGTTCGAATCCCGCCGTGGCACTAATGTCCTTTGGAAAGACATTGATCTCCATTTGCCACACGGCACCCAGGTGAAGTAAATGGGGACCGATAGGAAGTAACTCCTTGAATGCTGTGAGCACCGAAATCGGTAGCCTAGCAGAGCCGGGGTAATATTGGAGCGCCTTGAGCACCCTTCAGGGTAGATTTGTGCGCTATATAAATATCCAATATTATTATTATTATTATCCCTCAAGATAAGCTGAAATCATGTTAATATTGGTGCTAAAATACAATTTAGAATTAAAGTTCTAATCATCCGTGTATGAAGGACGAAGATGAAGATTGCAGGTACAGATACTCCATTGAATGCACTTCCTAATTTTCAAGTTCATGATCTAGTTTAAGATCTAGTTTAAGGTCAAGTTTAAGAGCAATCGTGCTTCAAAATTAATGGCCTAGCATCAGTATATGAAGAATTTAACTGGATATGGAAGAGACTATCATTGCAGGTAGGTTATAGTTCATGACACAGGCTTATGTTTACGCCCATTGATTTACCTTGAAATGATATTAAACCGTATGTGTTCTAAACTGTGTCGTAACGAACGTGTCATTTTCATTTATTGTGTTAAATAAGTACATACAATGATACAATGATTTAAACCTTGTTATTCTCCAGATACATTCGTCATTTAAACCTTGTCATTCCCCATATGAATTTATCATTTGAACCATGTCATTCCCAAGATGCATTCATCATTTGAACCCTGTCATTCCCCAGATGCATTCATCATTTAAACCTTGTCATTCTCAAGATGCATTCATCTTTTAAACGTTGTCATTTTCCAGATGCATTCATCATTTAAACCCTGCCATTCCCCAGATGCATTCATCATTTGAACCATGTCATTCCCTAGATGCATTCATCATCTAAACCCTGTCATTCCCCAGATGCATTCGTCATTTCAACCTTGCTATTCCCCAGATGCATTCATCATTTGAACCATGTCATTTCCAAGATGCATTCATCATCTAAACCCTGTCATTGCTCAGATGCATTCATCATTTAAACCTTGCCATTGCTCAGATGCATTCATCATTTTAAGCATGTCATTTCCCAGATGCATTCATCATTTAAACCTTGTCATTCCCCAGATGCATTCATCATTTGAACCATGTCATTCCCAAGATGCATTCATCATTTAAACCTTGTCATTTCCCAGATGCATTCATCATTTAAACCTTGTCATTTCCCAGATGCATTCATCATTTAAACCTTGTCATTCCCCAGATGCATTCATCATTTAAACCTTGCTATTCCCCAGATGCATTCATCATTTGAACCATGTCATTCCCAAGATGCATTCATCATCTAAACCCTGTCATTCCTCAGATGCATTCATCATTTAAACCTTGCCATTGCTCAGATGCATTCATCATTTTAACCATGTCATTCCCCAGATGCATTCATCATTTAAACCTTGTCATTCCCCAGATGCATTCATCATTTGAACCATGTCATTCCCAAGATGTATTCATCATTTAAACCTTGTCATTCCCCAGATGCATTCATCATTTAAACCTTGCTATTGCTCAGATGCATTCATCGTCTAAACCCTGTCATTCCCCAGATGCATTCATCATTTAAACCTTGTCATTTTCCAGATGCATTCATCATTTAAACCTTGTCATTCCCCAGATGCATTCATCATTTAAACGTTGTCATTTTCCAGATGCATGCGAGAAGCTGGCCAAGGAAGATGGGTCTACTGCACCAAGGCGGGGGCAAACGGTTTCTATGGCAACCCTGATGCGGAGGACTTTGAGACGAACGAGGTATCGTTCCGCGCCCCCGGACCGGGTGAGGAGTTGAAGAAATGCAGAAAGAGGAGAGTGGACCCGTTCTTCGGATTGCCAGAGACACTGGAATAAAAAGGGCGTTGCCTCTCTTCAATTCTGATTAAAAGACTTTAAATTTAAAGAAGGATGTGAGCAACTGTTCGTGGTAGCAGAAGATGTTTTGTGTCAGAACTCAGATGAGTAGCTGAGGTGTCTTTGAACTGAATATAAACGCTGGAGCAATGGACGCTGTGCCTCATTTCGGATAGCTGAAAACTTTTGTAACAATAATGAGATGTGAGCGTCTAATAGCAGGATGTTACATCGTTTCCTTCTCCACATTTTTTTCATTCATCTTATTTATTCACTTTGGGGGAAGCTGACGACAGAAATATCCGTCTATTAAAACAATGTCAAGTGTCAGTGATGATGATATGCCATACCCGCCTCTCTTACATTGGTCAGTTGTGATATATAAGAGTATTTTTTAAAATGGAAACTCCAGGGGAATACCCGTCTGTACTAAGCACCTGTCCTCTTCCTGATCCACGACCAAAAAAAAAATCAATTTAATATTCCTTTAATGGACTAATGTCGACTTTCGTCACAAATGCATTGTATATACTCCAATCAACGTGGCAGACTGGAGTTTTAATCTGTAGTGAGTAAAAGAGGTTATGATTTGTGAATATGCCATTAAGAATGCGGCGTGGGGTATATGACTATCTACTTTTCAGTTTTTCCTTTAAGAATCCCTGTATACTTCTTTCCAACCTGCGTTATGAATTAATAAAAGTTATTGTGCTAAGCCTCAGAAACAACCCTGCAGCTTTAAAGGTGGTATTGTTCTACTATCAATATTAATCAAACCAGTGAAGGTATTATGAGAGTCGTATAAAACATGTTTCTATATCAGCATTTCAATTATAAAATATCGACTTAAAACTATGTTTACCATGAATAATAATAATAAAAGTGTACAGGAGTAACAATTTAGTCTATTCTTCTAGGAGCCATGTTAGGAATCACTTCGTTTTGGAGTAGAAATCCACGCCAAAACTATTCGAATCTACTAACTCTCAAAACAGCTATCAAACCATTTGTATGGGATGAATTCAAATTACTTCGAATCATCGGGTCATCGCGTCGGGTCGGGGGTAATTTTTATAAAATAACCCTCTCATCTACAAATGGTCTGTTCCACTTTACACGACACTTTACACGACACACGAAAACTCTACGGTAAATCTTCCAAGGGTCGCGTCCTTATAACATGCATTTGCACATAACTTTCCGCTTTCGTTTCACGAAAGGTCATGTAACGCGACCACCTGACCAGACACGGTGATCCGATGACTCGCAGTAAGCCAATCGCGTGGCCAGAACTGAGCGTTATCTATACCAAGCAAAATATGACAATCTGGACCTATCAAAGACAGTATGATTTAAAGTGTACATATTTGTTAGATTGAAGAGTGGATGTAATGGTTGATGAAACGTAAAGTTCAACTAGTATTCCTTATTATTATAAAATGTTATAGTTCTTGATGGATGTTTAATCTGATAGATCGCGTTTCCCAAATGGATGTCCTAGATCGTACATAATCAAAGTCTTCCAGAAGGTGGTTCTCTTAAATACCAATGTGAAGTTTGTCATGTACATTAAGTGTATGTTAAATGTAATATAAGTTACATTTAATTTCTAATAAGTCCATATCACATTTTTAATACCAATGTAAATTATACATGTTAGTTGTTTGTTATGTATTACGTGTAAGTCCACGTAATGTACAAACGCCAATGATAAGTTAAAAGTATATTGGAATTCCGCATATAGGAGGTAAAAGGGGGAACAAGTTGTAGATGCTTTATACTGGAATGATTTCTGAATTTTTGTATTCGCTTATCATTGTACATTTTACGAGTTCGCAGCTTCATAAAGAGGTGGTGTTTTATAACTGCTTTCTATAACATGCAATGGCTCATCAAAGAAAAATACTTAATGAACCAGTTCGTGTACATATATTTGTCGTAGGACCTTTCTACTTTGTTATCATTGTTGTACAGTATTATTGTTTCTATTAAAATATCTTTGATATACCTCAAAGTGAGATGTCGTCTTCCATTCACACTTTTACTATCGTTTTACACTGCCTATATTATATAGGCCTTAGGGCTTGTAACGACCACTTGAGTAACATTCACACTTATACTATCATTTTACACGGCCTATAATCTATAGGCCTTAGGGCTTGTAACGATCACTCAAGTAAACATGTTGTCTTTCATTCACACTTTTACTATCGTTTTACACTGCCGATATTATATAGGCCTTAGGGCTTGTAACGACCACTCAAGTAACATTCACACTTATACTATTATTATACTATCATTTTACACGGCCTATAATATATAGGCCTTAGGGCTTGTAACGATCACTAAAGTAAACATGTTGTCTTTCATTCACACTTTTACTATCATTTTACACTCACTGCCTATGGACCTTAGGGCTTGTAACGATCACTCAGATAAATATGTTGTCTTTCATTCACACTTTTACTACCATTTTACACTGCCTATATTCTATAGGCCTAAGGCCCTTTTACACTTTCACGGATCGCATCACGGATCATCCCGGATCTTAATCCGGGGTGTTCCGGCGTGCGACACCACGATTTCTTCTCGATGCCGGTGTGGATACGTTCCGAACTGGGTGTATACACGGGCAAGTACGGTGTCTCCACGGACAGACAAGGTAGCAACGCGGACCACGCCGGAAACGCATACGGAGCTAACACGGATTTCAATGAAGAGCACGGAGGCTACTGGGTACTTTTACGGTCCTTAAGGCCCTTTTACACTTTCACGGATCGCATCACGGATCATCCCGGATCGTGTAAGGACCGTAAAAGTACCCAGTAGCCTCCGTGCTCTTCCTTGAAATCCGTGTTAGCTCCTTATGCGTTTCCGGCGTGGTCGGCGTTGCTACCTTGTCTGTCCGTGGAAACACCGTACTTGCCCGTGTATACACCCAGTTCGGAACGTATCCACACCGGCATCGAGAAGAAATCGTGGTGTCGCACTCCGGAACACCCCGGATTAAGATCCGGGATGATCCGTGATGCGATCCGTGAAAGTGTAAAAGGGCCTTTACACGGAGGTGTACGTTGTCTATTGGGATATCTCCGGAATGTTGACGGGTGACTTGAGCTTGTAGGCGCTCATTTGATATACGGAATTTCAAACCCGGATGAAACCGGTGTTAATACGGACCTCCCGGTGTCTACACGGACTGTCCCGGAGGTATTCGGCGGCTACACGGAGGTACACGGTGCCTACGGGGAAGAGGACGGATTGTAAAAATTAAGCAAGCTTAATTTTTCCCCGGATATGCCGGTACGCCAAGGATCACGCCGGATGCCTCCCCGGTGTATACACGGTAATGCCGGAGATAACACGGATGATCCCGGAGCGACGATCCGGGATGATCCGTGATGCGATCCGTGAAAGTATAAAAGGGCCTTTAGGACTTGTAACGATCACTCAAGTAAACATGTATTCAATTCACACTTTTACGATCATTTTACACTGCCCATATTCTATAAGGTTTAGGGCTTGTAACGATCACTCAAGTAAACATGTCTTTTATTCACACTTTTACTATCATTTTACACTCACTGCCTATAATCTATAGGCCTTAAACATAATGTCTTTCATTCACAATTTTACTATCATTTTCCACTGCCTATATCGGACCTTAGGGCTTGAGACTCTCACTCAAGTAAACATGTATTCAATTCACACTTTTACTATCATTTTACACTGCCCATATTCTATAGGGCTTAGGACTTGTAACGATCACTCAAGTAAACATGTCTTTTATTCACACTTTCACTATCACTTTACACTGCCTTTATTCCATAGGCCTTAGAGCTTGTCGCAATCACTCAAGTAAATATGTTGGCTTTCATTCACACTTTTACTATCATTTTACACTATATAGGCATTAGGGCTTGTAACGACCCCTCAAGTGAACATGTCTTCTATTCACACTTTTACTATAATTTTACACTCCCTATAGCAGTGGCGGATCCAGGGGGGGGGGCCGAAACGGCCGCGGCCCCCCCTATTGGCGGCGCAAAAAAAAAGGAAGAAAAAAAAGAGGAAGAAAAGAAGAGGAAAAAAAAGGAGAAGAGGAGAAGAAAAAAAGGAGAAGAGAAAAGAAAGGAGAAGGGAAAAGAAAAAGGAAGAGAAGAGAAAAGAGAAAAGAAAATATAAAGAAGAAAGCCCAACTCCCAACTATTATGTTAGAGCCGTTTTCCTTGCAACATTGCCCCGAAAAATGTGTTTATTTTGGTCCGCGGTGTCAGAACAAGTGTTACGCGCCCCCTCGCGCCGTGATTTATGACCATGAATCCTTCATGATTCAGCCGCGGACCCCAAAAACCCACATTTTTCGGGGCAATGTGGCAAGAAAATCGGCTCTAACATAACAACGGGCAAGATCGGGCAGCCAAATTTGGTATCAACTTGAAGCTTAGACATCAGATAAAATGGTGGTATTAAAATTTAAGCGGTACACCGTGGAGATCTAAACATTTCTTCTGGATTTATAAAAAACATGGATAATTAGTCCATTTTTCAGTGAATTACCCTATAATATATCATGAAGATTGTGTTTCTATTAATTTTAACCCATTCATTCAACGAAATGAACTATCATGAATATGTGAGAGCAATTTCAAATCAATAACTTAAAAACTTCATGTTGAATTAAAAGATTTTTAAAAAAAGTCACTTTTGCACTAAAACTGTGAATATGTAGGATTTTGCTGTTTGAAGTAGTAAATCTATACCCTTATTGTGCATACCGGAATTAAATATTTCACTGAGGTACTCCTCTATGTATTACTTTTCAACTGGGCAAGAAAAAAAATGAAAAAAATAAATCACCCAAATTTAGTTTTTGGAGCACTTTGGTTCCTCCCTGGCCCACTGTGCGGCCCTCGCCCGATAACACAAAACTATGATATGACGCTCCCGGCCGTGATTTATCCATGGTTAGTGTAATAGATCTTTTCTCCCTTTCATTTCTACTAATTATTGTGTGCTATCACAATCATGATTGTTTCATTTTCCCTTTAAAGCAGGCGCGTAGCCAGGGGCGGTAGGGACAGGAAGAGGGCATAGGACGAAAAAGGAGCAGACAAAGAAAAAAAAAATCTGACAAGTCGAGTACGGTACAACGAATCGTCTTCTTTCTCTAATAATTTAATGTAATGTCAAAGCTTCCGCGCTTCGCTCGGGAGGGGGGCAACTGAAAACAGACAAGGAATGGTAAAACGAATCGTCTTCTTTGTCTAATAATTTAATGAAACGTCAGAAGTTTACGCGCTACGCGCGGGCGGGGAAAAACTGAATTCAGCCAAGGATTTAGAGTCGAAAATGGAACAACGAATCATCTTATTTCTCTAATAATTCAATGAAACGTCAAAGCTTCCGCGCTTCGCGCGAAAACTGAATTCAAACAAGGATTAAGAGACGAGAATGGTACAACGATTAGTCTTCTTCCTCTAATAATGTAATGAACCGTCAGAGCTTACGCGCTACGCGCGGGCGGGGAAAAACTGAATTCAGACAAGGATTAAGAGTCGAGAATGGTACAAAGACTCGTCTCCTTTCCCCTTATAATTTAATGAAACGACAAAGCTTCCGCGCTTCGCGCGAGAGGGGGGAGGGGGAACTCAATTCAGACAAGGATTAAGAGTTACGAATCGTCTTCTTTCTCTAATAATTTAATGAAACGTCATAGCTTCCGCGCTTCGCGCGGGAGGGGGGGGGGGGCACTCAATTCAGACAAGGATAAAGAGTCGAGGGCGGTACAAAGAATCGTCTTCTTTCTCTAATAATTTAATGAAACGTCAAAGCTTCCGCGGTTCGCGCGGAAGGGGGGGGGGAAACTCAATTTAGAGAAGGATTAAGAGTCGAAAATGGAACAACGAATCATCTTTCTCTAATAATTTCATTAAACTATGAAAGGCCAAAGTTTCCGTGCTTCGCGCGGGAGGCGGGGGGGCTGAATTCAGTCAAGTAATAAGAGTCGAGAATGGTACAACAAATCTTCTTCTTTCTCTAATAATTAATGAAACGTCAAAGCTTCCGCGCTTCGCGCGGGAGGGGGAAAATTGAATTTCAAACAAGAATTAAGAGACGAGAATGGTACAAAGAATCGTCTCCTTTCCCTTATAATTCAATGAAACGCCAAAGCTTCCGCGCTTCGCGCGGGAGGGGGGGGGGGGACTTAATTCAGAGAAGGATTAAGGGTCGAAAATGGAACAACGAATCATCGTTCTCTAATAATTTCATTAAACTATGAAAAGCCTAAGTTTCCGTGCTTCGCGCGGGAAGGGGGGGGGGGGCTGAATTCAGTCAAGTAATAAGAGTCGAGAATGGTACAACAAATCTTCTTCTTTCTCTAATAATTAATGAAAGGCCAAAGCTTCCGCGCTTCGCGCGGGCGGGAGGAAACTGAATTTAGACAAGGATTAAGAGTCGAGAATGGTACAACAAATCGTCTTCCTTCTCTAGTAACAATTAATGAAGGGTCAAAGCTTCCGCGCTTCGCGCGTAATGGAGGGGGGGGGGACAGCGAGCTGCCCGAATATGAGTTTTTGATATCTTTTCTCGTTTATTTTGGTGATAAATAACACTTTCACAAATTATTGTTGCTCGCTCGCTTCGCTCACTATTTCGAATCGTGAAACCAGAAAATTACTTTCCGGGCAAGAGGCTATAGCCCCCCCCCCCCCGATGAAAATGTCAAAAATTCTACCGGTATCGTGCTTCTAATATGACCTTGTCAGTATTGGTATGTTGAGTTGAAAAAATGGTCTGCGCAATTTTCAAATTTCCGGCCCCCCCTATTGGAAAATCCTGGATCCGCGCATGCCTATAGTGTTCTATAGGCCTATAGACTTCAGATGTAAGTCTTCGTTTGAAGAAGCAAGAAGCAAAGTCCCTCATCTGAAGGATTGTGCTTTATAGATTTGAAAGTTGGAATTTGAAGGCATCAGACATTACGAGAATCAATGCCCTTGAAATGTGTATTTAG